TGCAGGAGGCCAGTGGAGCAGGTCGGTCTGTTCTGGGAATGGCTCCTCTGGCCGGTCACTGATTTCTCTCTTGAGGTCCAGAACTGGATTCTCCCCAATGGGTGCTTCTGAGGTATCTGGATCTGCTGGAAATTAGATAGGAGGCTCCGGTTCCACAGCTGCAGGTCTAGTTACAGATTCCTGTCCTGGGGTTGTAATGATGATATTACGTTTGGCATGGACACAGTAAAGACTTCAAAAGCATTGATGCTGACCACTGCAATGACTGAATTCCTATTTTCTCTTCCCTGCTTGGCCATGACTTATGCAAGTGTTTTGCAGATCAAGAATCCCCATGTTTGTGGTAGAGGCCAAGATGGTGTGTGAGCTGCAAGAGCCCAGGGGCCCCTGAAGGCTTCCCATGGTCCTGTTTCTAACCACGCAGAAGCTACAGCCTCGAGCCCTTCCCAGCTCAGGAAGACTCGAAGGTCGACTCCGATGGGATAGTCCGTTTATGGAATGGAGCAGGGAGAAGAGAAAGCCCAGGTGGGAGCTGGAAGAAAAGGGGCTGGAGGCTCCAGGTCCTCAGGGCCCTCAGGTGCAATGAGCTGAAGTCTCATTACCGTCGGTGAGACCCTTGCTGTCATTGTCAGGCCAGGAAGATGCCCGGGCGCAGGGGGACCCAGACCTCTCGGCGGGCGCGCAGGAACAAGGGCAGGCAGCCGGGCGGAGAGCTTCTAGTTTGCTTATATTTGAACCCAAATGAGGTAATTTGTTAATTGTGGGTGGTGCCTATCTGCCTGTCTGCCATATTATTTTCTGTGTGCACACGATCTTTTTTAACTTCAAATGTTTTTAATTTTAAAAAGTTTTGTTTTTTGAGACAGTCTTGCTCTGTCACCCAGGCTAGAGTGCAGTGGCACAATCATGGCTCACTGTACCCTCGACCTCCTGGGCTCAAGTCATCTTCCCACGTAGCTGGGACTACAGGTGAGTGCCACCATGCCCAGTTTTTAAAATATATATATATGCGTGTATTACATATACATGTGTATAATAGATATACACATACACACACACACATATAACATATACATATGTGTGTGTGCGTGTATATATATATGTTTTTTTTTTTTTGGTGGAGACCAGGTTTTGCCAAGTTGCCCAGGCTGGTCTCGAACTCCTGGGCTCAAGTGATTCTCCCGCCTCAGTCTTCCAAAGTGCTGGGACTACAGGTGTGAACCACTGTACCTGGCCTTGAATGTTTTAAATGATGCTTGGCTGGGAAGGTCCAGGTTTGGCACCAGTAGGAGACAGGACCAGGTAGGAGAAGAGCAGGTGAATGAGGTGGGGGAGGGTTGGGCCAAGGAGGCAGGGGAGGGAGGAGTTAATGAGTTAGGAGCAGGGTCAGAGAATGCTCTGGGGTCTTGGTGGCCCAGGGGCTCTCTCTTGTCCAAGGCGCCATCTGTGTCCCACCCATCGTTTTTCCTCTCCAGCCCCCTGCTTTAGTTAGCTGTAGACCCTGGAAGTTGAGGAGACAAAGAATAGTTATTTTCTGCATCTCCTGGAAGCTCCTTTAATGTTGGAAATCCACTGTCCCCTGGGACTGGCAGGATGAAAGGGCTGGGAGAGGGAGGGAGCTGACCAGAGGAGCTGGTGTGGGAGGGCAAGTCCATGATGCAGACGCTGAGCAGCCCTGGGCGTGTTCGATGCCTCCCCATGCCTCCCGGCAGCTTCTGCTCCAGCAGGACCAAGGTCCTGGCTCTACTGCATAGTGAGGTGTGAAAACCCCAGCTTAGAAAGAATCCCCTGGCAGAGACGAGAATATTTCAGAGTCCTTGGTTAAGCCCGGATAACTAGGTCTGCAGGAAGGAGTAGCACCGAGTCACGATCTTGAACCCCAGTGGTCCCAGAGCAGCCAGCACCTTCCCACCTGTGTGAGCCAGCGGCAAGGACTCTGCCCCGACCCGGCTCCTGGAGCTGCCCTTGGGAGCCGGCTGGACCTCCCTGAAGGGCCCTCTCTGTTCTCCGTGGGCCCTGGGGACGTCACTGTCAAACTGCAAACATAGACACGTTCTGGCCCAGCAATTTGGCTTGCAAGAACGTCTCCTACAGGAATTCTTTTGCATGTGGTCCAAGACCCACATACAGGGCTGCGGTATCAGCCGAAAATCAAATCAGCCTGGATGCTGTCAATAGGCCCAACACGGTGGGGCACGTGAATAACATGGACGAGCTTGTGCCAGCTGCACTGTTCCACGTGGAACTGACTCCAAGAGGCGCTGTGGTCACTTGGCAAACGGGAGTTGCTGCCTGTGTGTCCAGCATGCTGTCAGTTATGCTTGAGGAGGCGGGACTCAGATCACTTATGCAGGAAACCATGACATGAACTCTCTGGTGAGGGTGTCCAGGACGAGGAGCTCTGAGGCAAACAGGCTTCTTCTCTGTTCCTTTCCTCTGGTGCCTTCTGCACGTTGTGCCAAGAGGGAACATCCTCTCCTCCAGGTACAACTAAACACACCCTGCAAGGTGCCCAGCGGGTCTGGGTTGCAGCCATCAGACGCCGGCCCTGAAACTCCTGCTGGCACCTGGAGAGCCCGCAAACCTGGCCTGTTGACCATCAAGGAGCATGTGTCCCTCGGGGCATCGCAGATGGATGTGCTTTGGCAAAACTGCACAAAACGTCACATGATGCTGCTGTAATTGGGTGGACAGAGAACCGGGCACTGAAGCTGGGATGTCCACATGTGGTGTTTGTGTTAAGAAGATAATTATTGGCCGGGGGCGGTGGCTCAGCCCTGTAATCCCAGCACATTGGGAGGCTGAGGCAGGAAGATCGCTTGAGTCCAGGAGTTTGAGACCAGCCTGGGCAACATGGCGAGACCCAGTCTCTACAAAAACGTAAAAAAAAAAAAAAGCTGGGCATGGTGGTGCACACCTGTGGTCTCAGTTACTTGGGGAGTTGAGGGGAGAGGATTGCTTGAGCCCAGGAGGTCGAGGCTGTAGTGAGCCGAGATCGCACCACTGCACTCCAGACAGGGTGACAGAGTGAGACTCTGTTTTTTTAAAAAAAGATAATTGTTATACTTTTACTCAATAAAACAAAGGGTTTCATTTTCCCTGGGCTCTTGACGAGTCATCTCTTCTTCCACAAGCAAAACGGGGAGAGGGAGGACGACAGCCACGTCTGAGGCTCGCCGTACAGCCTGGTCTCTCCATTTGGGGCAACTCCCCATTTTCGGAGGTGGGGGGCATTAGCACCCTGACCTTGTGCTCCTGCAGCAAGTCTGGGCCTCTGGGCATTGCCGTTTGCAATTTATGGGCACCTGGCACAGAGCAGGTGCTGGACGCACATTTACTGACCATGTCCCCATGCCATCGGCCTTCTGGTATCCTAGAAGCGAGACTCTCCCCCAGCTGTGCCCGGAAGCCTCAGCAGCACTCCCTCCTCCAGGCCACAGGCAGTGGGCACTGTGTTCATCCCCATCCTACAGAGGAGGGAACTCACGGCAGGAGGGGGAGGAATGGGGGCAGGGCCAGATGGTAAATATTTTAGGTTTTGTGGGTCAACTCTGAGGATAATATGCAAATGAGCAGGTGCAGCTGTGGGGTTTTGTTTTTTTTTAATCATTTTTATTTCTTGAGAGACAGGGTCTCGCTCTGTCACCCAGGCTAGAGTACAGTGGCACAATCACAGCTTACTGTAGCCTCAACCTCCCAGACTCAAGTAATTGTCTCGCCTCAGCTTCCTGAGCAGCTGAGCCCACAGGAGCACACCACTGCACCCGGCTAATTTGTCCATTTTTTTTGCAGAGATGAGGTCTCCGTATGTTGCCCAGGCTGGTCTCGCACTCCTGGGCTCAAGCGATCCTCCCGCCTTGGCCTCCTAATGTGCTAGGATGACTCATGTTCTAATACAACTTTCTTGTGGTGTGGGCACCAAAATCTGAACTACATATGATTATCACGTATCACGCAACATTCTTCTTCTTTTGATATAACAAGGAGGTGAAATCACAGGGGGTTGAATAAGTCAGAGGTTAAGCAACCAGCCCCAAATAACCCGATTCCCCTCCACCAGCAGACCATGCACCCCCGAGAGAGATGCCTTTGCTGGGGAAGAAGCGGGGAGGAAGAGAACTAGGGCCCAGAGCGGGGACACCATCCACGCATGACCCAGGCGCTTCCAAGCCCGCGGCAGGCACCTGCCTTCATGCCCAGCCCCTTCCTGGTGCTGCCTTCTCTCCAGATGCTCTCTCCTTTGCCTTCTCCTTCCAGGAGCCCGGGCACACTTCTTAATGCTCCTGGGGACCAGGAGATGGAAAGGAGAGGGCAAAGGTCATGCTGGAGGTGGAAAGAGGTTCAGGCAAGGGTGGCCCACCCTAGGGCTTGGCCTGTCCTCTGGTCAGTCCCTACCCCCGCTGCAGACTCCCCCTACCTTGGCTGCCAGCACAGCTCAGCACAGGCCAATCTTTCCCGAGGCTTCAAGAGCCCCAAAGCACTGGGCATCCAGCCAGAGGCCATCGTGGGCCTCCCCCTGCATCTCTGTGTTTGGTCACAGGCGCTGTTCCTCCGAACCTGGAAGCTCTAAACCGACAGCCCGTCTTTTTCCTTTATTCCCACGCGAGAGCCACACCTGCCCACTCGGTTTCAGGTCAGTTCCACCACGGATGCTGCAGTGGGAAAGTCAGCGTCCTTTCCAGGGACGGCCCCACTAGGCACAGACCCTCAAGGCCCTGCGGCCCCAGATGGGAGGGCTGTCCCCGCACAGCAGAGGATATTTTCTGTGAGCTCACCGTGGTTTGCGGCAACCACCATAGCACCTCTGCCTACAGAGCCCTCATCCGGTCTCCCACTGCCTGCCGCCCCCACCCCCAACCACGTGGTCTGTCCCAGGCAGCCTCTAGGACCGGGTGGGGGTTTCCACAGGGACCTGGCCAAACCCACTCTAGGAAGAGCCTCTGGGGCCCGGGGGAGGCGGGAGGGAGGGGCATTCAAGGGGGGGTCTGGGGAGAGCCCACCTTGCTCTTCTCCTGCTGCAGCTCGATCTGGATGTCTGTGAGCTTGGCTCGAAGCTCCTCGTTGGCCGCCTGCAGCGCCGCGAGGGCCTCCGCCTTGTCCCCCTTGGCCCGGCTGCCCATGCCTCTCTTGGACATGGTGAGGCTGGATGACCAGGGGGATGCCCAGGGGCAGGGTGCTCTGGCTGGGCTGGGCTGGGGGTGGCTGGGGTGTCCACGCCAAGCTCCCAGCAGGTGTCACCCGGGCTGCCGCTGTGCTACATCTTCTCATTCACCTGGAGGGAAAGCACACCGGGTGAGCAGCCCCTCCGGAGCCTCGGCCTGGAGCTCGGGGGCTCGTGTGCGAGGGGGGCACACGGACCCCCTACCTGCCCTCATCCCAGCGCTGAGGATGCCACCTGCACTACGCAGGCCAGGGAACCAGCCCCAGACAGCAGAGCCCATCGGCCTGCCATATGGTGCCCCCAAACAGCGACCCCACATCTAAGAGCACATCCCTGTGCCTAGCATAGGATGAACACTCAGCACAGGCGACTTCTTTTCCCCCTTCAGAATCAGAGAGTGAGGGAGTGGGCACCCAGCTTCGAACTCGGAATTCTGTACGTGACTGTGAGGCCACTGCGGCAACAGTGAGTATAAACTATGAGTTCTCCAACAGCAGAGGGACCCCGTGACCGGGCTCCTCCAGAGACCTGAAAGCTGCACCCGGGAAACGCCCAGCAGTACTGAAAGCAGGAACTGGAACAGAAGCGCATGCCCAGCTCACAGCAGCACAATCCAGGTAGCCGCACAGTGGAGGCAACCCGCGTCCATCAACGGATGAGTGGCTACACAAAACACAGAATATCCACGTAATAGAATATGATCCAGCTGTAACCAGGAGGGAGATTCGGACACACGCTACGACAGCAGGATCCCCGAAGAGATTAGGCTGGGTGAAATGAGCTGGTCACAGAAGGATAAATCCCGCATGATTTCACATATATATTCAGGATCTACAGTCAGCAAACCCGGGAACAAAGTAGAATGGTGGCTGCCAGGGGCTGCCAGGAGAGGGAACGGGAGCTACTGTTTAATGGAGATGGATTTTCTTTCTGTTTTTGGAGATAGGGTCTGACTCTGTGTCCCATCAAGGGGAGTGGCTGTAAATACACAGGAAGCTTCACTCCCTTGCCCGCTACTTGCCTCCTGCTGTGTGGCCCAGCTTCGAACAGGCCACGGACAGGTACTGATCCATGGCCAGGCACCAGGAACCTGGTGTAGGCAACCAGTGATCTCCACTGGTCACAGCAAGTCCTCCAGGTTCAACCCCAGGGAAGCTTCTCACTGTCTAAGAAGGGGTGATTGGACGAGGCTAGTGGGATCCTCACAATTTCCTTCTGTGCTGCCAGGCACCTTCCCCAGCTGTTCCTCTCTCTCTGAGGCTCCCCCACCCCGACAAGCTACTCCTCTCCTCCAGTTGCTCCTCCCCTCCAGCTGCTCCTTTCTCCCTCTGATGTTCCTCTCTGGTAGCTGCTTCTCTACCCCAGCTCCTACCCCAGATGCTCCTCTTGGCTGCCTAGAGGGGCAAGGACCCCTGGTGTTCCTAACAGGTCCACTGGGCTCCTCTGTGGCCCTCCTGCTCCTGGGGCCTCCATCTCCACCATGACCAGCTTTCCCTCTTATCCTTGTTTACCTTCTGCTCTTGTCACCTGTTATAGGGCAGTGAAGGCAGCCAGGATGGAAGGGAGAAGCAGGCAGATCAAACATGGGATCTTTCCCAGTGAACACAGCCCCCATCCCCCCAACTCCTGCTCCCATTTCCTGATGATCACAGGCCCACCCCACACCCGCATCTCCTCTCCCAGTGAACACTTTCCCCCACCCCACTCCCGCGTCTCCTCTCCTGGTGAACACGCGCCACCATCACTCCTGCATCTCCTCTCCAGCCTGGTGAACACAGCCCTCCCCTTACTCCTGTGTCTGTCTCCAGCCTCCTATTTATCAGTTCATAGGACCATGGGAGGGAGACTTGGATATGGGTCCTGCAGTTTGATGAAGGCCAAGCTGTGTGGGTGTGGGGCTCAGAGACCAGCGGAGGTGGCAGGGCGGGCAGGTGGGAGGGCCACAGGGCAGCCAGGTGGACTTCCAGGGGCGAGCGAAGATGGCCTCACAGAGGGAGAGTGAAAGGAGGGTCGGAGGCGACCCACTGGGAGGCGATGCAGACACCAAGGAACCACGAGGAGCCTGCGTGGCTGAAAGGTGAACTGGGAAGATGCTGGGCATGTCTCACCCTGCAGGGCCACCGGCCTCCACCTGGACAGGGAGAAGGGCCCAGCAGGGTGGATGTCAGCCCTGCACATGTGAGGCGGGGACTGAAGGGACCAGGCTCGGGCAGATGGCAAAGTTGGAAGCTGTCATGGGGTACAGAGGGAGGAAAGTGCCCTCAGGATGCCACTGCAGACCGAGGGGATGGACCCATGGACGGGGCTGAGGCTGTGCCCATGTCGCCCCGCAGACGTCACCAGAGGCATCTTCATTTACAAAGGAGAGGGTGCTCACCGGGCCCAGCACGCTGCCTTTCTCCCCTTTCCGGCTCCGTCCTGAGGACAAAACCCAGGCAGCTTGGGAAAGGCCTGAGAAGTGTGCAAGAAGAGGGGCTTGAGGAGGAGGAGGAAAGGGGGCTTGGCTGGCCTTGCTGCTGAGAATGAGAGAGCATCGGGTGGGCCCGGACTCCTAGAGATGGGATAGGAGGTTCTGAAGGTGTTTTGCTGTCTCTTGATAACAAGCTGCTCTAAAGAGAGACACCAGCTGACCCTTAAGTGTTTTAGTGACTCCTGGCCCCAACCCCATGAGTGTCAGGTGGGCTCCTGTGGACTCCAGAACTGTGGGCCCACCTCCCACTGTCCTCCCTGGGGACCCTCCAGGGGGATGAAGACCCCACTGGGGAAGGGCCGGGTCCTGTCCTGTGCACTCGGGTTCTCTGCCACCACAGGTGACTGTTCTGGTAAACTTCCCACCTCCAATAACACATTCCCACCTCCATTCAAGTCCTCTTAGACAGGGCTCCGGCTTCCTCTGGGCGGCAGCTCCTTTCCAGGACCCAGCCCCGGGCCACCACTGCCCTCTCCTGGCTGTAGCACCACTCTGTGCAGTGCTCACTGACAGCGGCAGAACCTCGCTCCCATCCGCTGTCATAGGGCATTGAGCCTTTGAGGAAAAGGGAAAATAAAATCTGGCTGCCAGACAGTTGTCATTCCCATAGCTTTGCTATTGAAAATAGATGAAGCAGTTTTTGAAAGAGAATCCACTGTAAAGGGTCATGGTTGCTAATACACAAGGGTCGATATCTAGACCCATCCCAGGAGCTAATTTCTGATTAACCCACTGTTTGTAGCATTTAGTTAATTTTGTTTTGGGGAGACTTCAGCGGTGGGGCTGGGGGAGGGGGTCCTTGCTCTGTCGCCCAGGCTGGAGAGCAGCAGTGCAATCACGGCTCGCTGTAACCTCAACTTCCTGGGCTCAAGCAATCCTCCCGCCTCAGCCTCCCATGGATGGATTTCCAATTTGGAGGAGGGAAAGTGCGAAAGTGTAGAAAGTTAAAATCTTGTCTACATTGCAGAAAAACTCCCCAGACTGGCCTCCCTCCTCCCGTCCCAGGCCTGGGACTGCCCAGCTCCTCCGAACGGCTTCAAGCTCACTCTGGGTCCCGCACTGGCTACCCTGGTCTGAGAGCTTTCATCGGCATCTCCCTAGAGGCAGAGTTGATATTTTTCTCCAGCACCAATCTGGGAACTGATACGGTAACTATGCTGAGTTTATTCCTTATGAAATGAGCAGGGATGGTGTGAATCTCCCCCAAGTGCTGAGGCTCGGGCACCCCAGAAGTGAAAAGCACCTGGCACAGTGCTTGGCATGTAGGAGGCATGGGATAAACTGTGTTAGCCAGTGGCCTGCACAAGCTCATCTTCCCCCTGCAGGGATGGACTGATCACGGCCTCTCCAGGCAGCCGTTTCCATGGCTGGTCGTTTCCGTGGCTGGTCATTTCCGTGGCTGGTTGTTTCCGTGGCTGATCATTTCCGTGGCTGGTCAGCTAGGCTGTGAAACAGTTGATGCTCCAGAGGTGCCAAAGCTAGTTTCCCACTGATTTGCATCTTCCTTCTTCCTTCCCGCCCAGGAGCACGGCTGTGGTTCCTCATGCAGAGAGAACGGGGCGCACGGCTGGGGTTCCTCATGCAGAGAGAATGGGGCGCACGGCTGCAGTTCCTCATGCAAAGAGAACAGGGCTTTCAAGTGTCGCCTCACATCCTAAAGCGAAAGGATATTGGGGTGGCTGGGAGGCTCCGCACCTTGCATGATCATAGCCTCGGTAAACGGAGGTATCTCCTTTCCCCACAAGGACACTGCTGCTGTTGGCAGGAGACAGAGCTCATAGCTGCTGGGGGGCTGTGGCCTGTGCTCCAGCCCTGGGGTGGCTGCTGGGTTTCATGAGCTCTTCTGTCCACCCTCCCATCTCTCATAAGGAACTAGGGGTGTAGAGAATCATCCAGTCTCAAGCATGTGTGTAAGGTTGTTCTGGTCAATACGTCTTCTCACGGCCTTCCTGACACTCGGGAGGCAGACAGGGTGACTAGAGAGAGACCCAAAGGCTGCGAGAGTAGGAGATCTAGCTGGTGGCAGCCCAGACGCCCCCACCTTGGGCGTGCCAGGGGCTTCAGCCATGTAGGAGGTTCAGCCGGCTCATGACAAGGGCTGGGCCCCATGTGGCACACTCAGCACTGAGTCCCAGACCACGGCGTCCTGGCTCGAGGAGACCCACAGTTCCCTGACAGGGTGGGAGTGGGTCTGAGGGGCCTGTGTGGGGGTCTGCGAGGGCAGCACATTGTGAGACGCTCATGAGGCGGTCCAGTCACAGCTGCATCTGCCCTGGGGAGCCTGGATCAGCCCCAGGGCAGGAGCCAGGAGGGGTCAGGGTGGGTGCAAGCTCAGAGCAGACACCCCCTACATCACTGTACCAGCCCCTCACCACGATGGGGTCACAGGACAGCTGGGATCAGGGCTGTCCCTTCACTGGGAATCACAGCAACGCAGCGTGAATCTCAGACGCGGACAAACCCTCCAGACACTGTGGACTCTACTCATGCCGACCATCACCAGGGCGAGCACGGGAGCTGCAGACGGACAGCACGGCAGTGCAGCAAGGGGTTTGGGGTGCCGAGGAATGTGCCATCCGTGACACGCATGTGAGCCACAAGGCACAGGGCAGGCGGTGACCAGGGGACCGGCCTAATGAGG